TTATAGTAAAATGTTTAAAAAATAAATTCCACTAGAGATACTTGTCAATTCGCCCTACAGGCGTTTGAAATCTTCAATTGTTGATCTGCCACTGCAGCTCCTCGAGTCTACAGTCATTTCTCTTATCTATCTTCCTCTCATATGCGTCTTCGACTTGCCATAATTCACTTGCCTAATCGGGTGTTGTTGCGATACCTCAGGAATTTATTCCCTCTTGCATTTATAGAATCTGATGCCGCTTTATATGCACCTGAGGCCTGGTGCATATCAACTAAACAAAAATAAATGTAACAGATATATTTTTAACGTCCTTTGTTTTCATTTCTTTTTCACCAACTTCTAAACAAAAAACAACATCATTATGTTGTTACATCTCTTCATTTAAATAATCAAGTTTTTGAAGAACATTTTTTAGAATTTAAAATAATTTTTCATTATATAACTTTTTTCTGTTTTGTTTTCAATTATTCACAATACTGTTGTGTGTTTCATTTCTTTTAATGATTAATCAATTGTTAAATTCGACATATTTTTAATAAGCTAAATATTGTTTTTTAATTTGGAGATCTTCTAAAAAGTGAAATGAAGCCTGAGGCTCTTAAATGTGGTAATTTGCTATTAATTATTGTGTACAGGTATAGATAAAAACAGTTGAACAGAGATAATTTTCATGGGAATGATTAGACTAATAATAAAAAAAATTCTAGAACCTCTAGGCGTTGAAGTAGCTGTAATTATCCTTTTTATCGGATCAAAATTCGATATTTAGATTTGGCGCATTGCCCCTAGTCTTTTTGATTCGATTGATTCTTACCAAGCATCTATTGATTTCATCTCTAATAATTGGAGACTTAAGCATCATCTGGATCTAGATTAAGTTTTTATTCTTTTTAATTTCAATTTAACCCGTCCCAAGTGAACAGCTTTGATAATTAATAAACATGACCAATAAATCTGCATACTAATTTTTTATAAATTAATTAACAAAAAGTAAATCTTTTTCAATGTTATTTATGTTATTGTATTTTTTTTAAAATATTGATTGCAAGTCAATATTTTCAAAATTTAGAAAATAGTAATGAAAATTCTTATTTACTTTAATAAATTTATCATCATAAGCTTCCGCGTTTACCAAAGGAATTTCTACGGTTGGCCTCGAATTAATCGTCCTCGCTCAGGACGAATTCCTATGGTCATAGTGACAATGCGAAATCGCTCCATTGCTCATCACGTCCGATAAATCAGTTATGTGTTATACGTCAAGTACACTTGAGCACGCGTGCCAAACACGACACACTCGTTTTCTTGGTGTGACTCTGTCAAATGAACGTCGTTCTAGCAAACGATTCAGTGCTTCGCGGACCGTTAAATCGTGTCCAATCTTAGTGGAATGCGAGTAGTCCAAGTGATGTAGAAAAGGAACAATTGGATTTATTTATTCTTCTTGTTTTTTATTTATATTATTGCCAATTATTAATGTAATACATGTGTTCAGCTTTTTTTCTTGACAGTAGCATAACTGTTTACAATGATGTAAACGTGTAAATATGTGGTGATGACATGTAATCTAATACAATAATTACAGGTATAATAATGTAATCACATCGATATCATTAAAAAGCTAGATGTGATTATTACTATAATGAAATTTTTTTTCTAGGTGGTTGATGTTTCTAAGATCCCGAGAGTGTTAGTTTTTTACTAGAGGCCGGTGGATAGCTCTCTATGTCGGTGGTAATCGAAGACGACGACAAAGTAATTCACTGGGACGATACAATAGCTACGGTTGCTGCATTACGGCAATTACCTTAATTCGTCTCGTAATTATTACGATTGCCCGTGGCGACTATAAGAATTACCTTAGCTCGTGCAATAACTTTCCTACTTGTATTGCTTTAGCGCCTCAATTTCCTCATTCAAGTTACAGAGATTTGCCTCCAAGTCAAGGATTGTGCCGGTGAATATGTATACTTACAAGATAAAGACTCCAATGAGAATCATCAACAGCTAGACGATATGCTTCCGGAAATTATCTGCTGTGACGAAGAGGCGTGATCATGAGATGCAAGAATATTAAGGTGTAATTTTCTTGTAAATTTCACAAGTAAACGTCACCGTTAGAATAGCGGAATTGTATTCTTAAGTGATATTAAACTTTGTGGGGATTTTTTATTTCTAGATAAATAGTGTTGAAAAATTTATTAGTGACTAGTGATTAGTGATGATGTTTAATAGAAGTTGACCAGTGGTTTGATGGGTCAATAAATTTTAATAATCCTCCACAGTAGTATGGTGTTAATCTATCAGGAAAAAATGAATAAATAATATATTATAAAAAAATATACTCCATCTATTAAAAAAGGGTGCATTAACAGATAAAATTGATGATTTAGCAATGCAATTAATGCATTTAAACGATATTACTTTCATGCAATATTAAAAATTCTAATTTGATTGAATTTTCTGTCTTCCACAAACTGTTAAACGAAAAATATTTTCAATTTCTTTAATGGCTTCCGTGTCTGTGCTTAAAAATAATCCAGACAAGGAAACAAGAGTCTTGAACAAAGGTTGTACTGATGCAGTCGTTGAGCATCCAACCGATTGTATAGAGAACGTGGATACTTGGTGGGTATCCAGCGGTGTAAAAGAGACAGTACGAGCGAGTGCGTTGCCTGGTATCAATTTGTCCAGGGCCGGTAGGATGCACGGGGTTGCTGCTTATGCGCGACCGAAGGTCGCTTTGTACGCGCCGCTATCCAACATTCTATCAACTCTCGGGTCCCCATGAAAAGCATCTCGCGAGAGATCGATTTACCCTACGCAAGTATAAGATACCAATTACTGCGTTCACACGCACCTTTAAGGACAGATAATTGGAAGTAGCTTTAGCCGCCAAATGCTTTTGTAAACCTCATATTATTATCATTATTAATTTTATTGTTAGCAGTTAGGTTTTATGTGAACAAAGATTGGATTTTCTTCTTAATTCTTTCATAAATCCCTCAGTAATTTTTCATTGCTTTATTTTCACTTAATTCTCAACTGCAGGTTGCACTGTATTGAGTGATAATTTTTAGAGATAAATATTGGGTTAAAATTTCTGAAATTTAGGTACTCGAAGAAATGAGTTTCTAAGAATACAATAACTATACCAAGACCCGTAGGCTTTGGATGAAGGGTTAAGGGACTCTTGACGCGTCATTTGGCATGAGCCTCAGGTCGAATTCTTCGTCAATATCTTTCCAATAGATATTCTTTACCTTTCTTCTTCCTTTTCGTTATCCCTTATTTCTTTTGATTGACGCCATTATTTTCATCTTAGTTGTTGTTGGTAAACATTAAATTTGTAATGTTAAAGATATTGAAGAAATAATGCGCACGATAGAGCGATTTCAATAATTTTTGTAAACTTTATATAATTCGTCCATCTATTCATCAACGTCACTCATATCTGCATATAATAACACTCTCGTGATGTTGAATTTATGATATAATTTTGATTCTTTCTCATCTACATGATCGTAATCGATTCTATCTTTTCTCACACTCAATAAAATTGCTGAAAAATTTTAACAATTTCAACAATTAATGAAAATATTCAGCTTAGCAATAAAATTTATCAGATTATTATTTTTAATTTAATAATTGCATTCATTATAAATCTTTTTATTTATGATATAAAAAACTTGGATGTAAAAATTACAGAGTTAATTGGAGATATTTGCAAAAATAATCGTAATAATGATAATAATCAAGATGAAGTTTTGGATTTTTTCGAAATTATCCCAGAAAAAAATAGTCACGGTTTCGCGAGAAGTTGGCGGTGAGAAGGAATCCCTGTGGCGTTGAACAGAGCTGCGCGTTACGCTTTCGTCAAGGTGTGAGCGAAGACGAATGGCGTTGATACGACAAAACGCTGTCGGCTGTCCGGTTTGTCCTGGCCAACACAGCGCGCAAATGAAGACGTTACCACTGCGAATGATTAGTGCTCAGTTCTCTCACCCGATTGCTCATGTGCCCACACAAGAAGTTGCTCGTCATTAGTTATTTCTTGCTTCAAAATTACTTAACCGATATCTTATATATGTTTAATTCATTTTTATTATAGTGTTATTATTATTTTTAAAGTTCTTCTCTATACTCCTGTAATGCGTTCATTTTTATTTATGTGCCAACAAAATGCAATCTTTATTAACAATTAATAAAAAAAAATCACGATTTCAATGTTTATTGGAAAAAATTTTTTCATTAAAAAAATTATTTTAGAAAATTATAGTTGGAATTAATTAAGTAAAGAAAGAAGATAAACACATAAAGGATTTTTTTTAATAATTTTATTTTATTTAAAAAACATTTTTAAAAAATATTATAACAATTATTAATTTATTTCGCTTTGTTGTGAAATAATATGCTAATTTTTAAACTATTCATTCACATTTCTAGTCAATTATCAGTCAAAAAAAGTTTTTGTTTATAGACATTATTAATTTTAAATTTACTGAATAGCTTAAAATTAATTTGATGTTTATAAAAAAAAAATGCATAAAACATTTTGTCAAGGTCGGCATGTACTATGGTGGTCATTGTCCCATGGTCAAGTCACACCATCTATCATTCGTGCGTCAGATGATTTCAATTTGCTCTCTTTTTGTGCCATCACTTTGTGCCCCGCGCACAAAATTGTATTTAATTGTGATTGACTGCTAAGTAGTCGAGGTTTTATGCATCTGAGTTGATTTTTATAAAAGTCAAGTTGCACTTCACACTGAGTACTAAGTATTGAATACATACATGAATAACATGTGCGTACATAACATAAATAAGTCTATAAACTAATCTGCTATGCTTATATATATTTACATCATTAGCTAAACTATTTTAAAATTGTTCATAATAACTTAAAAGCTTTAAATCAATTATTTACAAAAGAAAATTTTATATACAAAAGTACCTCAGTCTGTTAATTAAATCATCACAATCAGAATCTCCAGAATTAATCAATCTCTTTGAAGAAGTTCATAGAGTGCAGAAATATAAGTCTGTGCCATCTGAAGTGTCTCAAATTTACTGAGTTTTCTGTCATTCCCTAGACTAGGAACAACATCACGTAGCCTATCGAATGCATCATTCAGACTATTCATTCGTCTTCTTTCTCTGGCATTAGCAGCAAGCCTTCTCTTCTTCATGATTTCAATTCCAGGTGTGTTGTTCTTCATCTTCTGCAAACTGTCCTTGGTCTTCTGAACTTGATAAGGTGAACTGATTGATGGTTCCTCACGCCTGAACCTTGCCTGGACTTGGTTGAAGCATTTCCTACTTTCCAAGTCATTCTTTGGAGCTTGATAACTTTCTTCCAGATAGAGACCATCAGCTCGATGAGTAAATGGTTCTGTCTTCATGCTGCTGTCTTGATACATTCCAGTTTTTGTGAAAAAATCATTATTGGTTTGAGGATGGACCATTTTTTGCTGATGTCTGTATGATTTATCAACTTCTAAATATCCAACATCATAGGAATTATCAAATTCAGTTTTGTAGTTTGGTTTGTATTCTTTCGAGTTTTTAAAGACTTCATGACTTGAATCATATTTAGATGCTTCTCTTGCATAGCCTTCGTAGAACTCAGTAAAATTGAAGCCTCCTGACAGTCCTGGGAATACACTTGGAGTAGTTGTACCAAGATCTTGATACTCTTGATTATTGTGACTGTCAATTGAACTGACGCTGTCGCAGCTACTACCTCGTGAACGAGGTGGTTGTGGGTACGATTCTGCTTGATGATAAGGTCTGATGTTTGATTCTGGACTACTTGCTGATCCATAGCCTTCAGAGTCCAGAAAGTCATAAGGTTGGAAGCACGCGTAGCTTGTCATCATGATGACTTTATTAATTGTTAATTAATTTCTTAATTAAAAAACAAAATATTATTTTATTTCACACACGAATTAGTGCATAACACGAAAACTTATCTACAGATTTGATTTAATTCAACATATAAGATAAGGAGTAGACACTGATGATGACACGAGGGTTGAAAAGTCTTAAGGAGCTCGTTTCGATCTCTGAATTCGATCGAGTCGTTGCGTAAACTGACGATGTCTTGACTCGTACCAAGATCTCGTGGCTGGACCACGCTGCCGGGTTTTCTTCAAGACAAGTGGTGGGAGATTGGGTCTGATAAGTAGTGGGGAGTCCGACGGACCCAACTCCCTTCTCTTGGGTAGCGTGTCGAGTGGGCAATTCTTTGTATAAGCCGCACAGCAGACACGCCTCTCTCCTGGTTTCGTGGTTTTGTTCTTCTTTCTCCTTTTCTTATAGTCCTTTTTTTTTCTTATTGAGACTACGTCAACAACATTGCTGGGGGCTGCAAATATGACATTGGGATGTTTCCTTTTAATTTGGTTGTTTGTTTTTTTTTTTGCGCAAGAAATTTCACTTACTCATTTTTACCATAATCATTTTACTGACATTCCATGGAGTTATTAGAGTTGATTCTCGTGTTGGAGAATTGTTTTGACATTTAGGCAAAAAATAATTGCTTTTTGATATAATAATTGAACAGAAGAATTTTTTTGGCAAGGTTTTGATTATATAACGGCTGGATTTCTTTCTTCAATTAAAAAAAGAGCTAACATAACTTATTGTTTAAATTTTTATTGATGAATAATTGACTTAAGTAATACCTTCCTCTTCTTTACTATTACATTGGAAACTACAAAAGTTAATTTAAGTTATTTGTAAAAAATGTTGAATCTTCAATGCAAACTTATTTGTCAGTAAAAGATCTTTGGTTCTTCTTGTGCTTCATTAGATCTTTCCTCACAATAAATTGTTGATCCAAGTAAATTTACATGGATACTTTTTATCTGTCATATTAACGTATCTCACTCTAGATCTTATTCTTGACGAGCTGTCAGAATGGATAAATCTGGAGACCAAAAAACTCCAAGTTCGATTACTTGTGATTTATCTAAATGGAAAAGATGAACGGGAATGAGCAAGAAGTGAGGATCCATGGATTCTCTCCATCATCCAGACCTTAATAATCATTTAGTCTTTGAGGAAAGAATGACACGTTGTTAAAACCAGAAGGGATATACTTGTCACAGATATTGATTGTAATTTTTTGGAGATCGATCTTTATAAATTCGAGCAGTAGCTCAGTCCAAATTGGCTCCTATCGCTTTCTTTTTTCTTCTCTTATTTCTCTCATGGTTTTTTCTTACCAACTCACATCCTTTTCAGCAACTCCTTTGCTTTGACCCGCTGCTAGTTTACGAGCTGCAAACCAGAGAGAACTCAAGTTACGAGGGAGACTTCTCTTCCTTGGATATTTCTTTTTTTTTACTTTTTCTTCTCAACACTCCACTCACTCTCTATATCTATACCCCACGCGTACTTTACGACATTATAAATGCTTCAGGGCTGGAAAGCATCGACAAATTAGACTGGTTTACGAGGTCCACCTTATTTTACGCATCCATTCTTTATTTTTGTCAACTTTCAATTATGACTCTTTATTATTTTTTATGTTCCGTTTAATACTTTGTAATTCACTCATTTGCTTCTAAATGTTGAGAAAAAAAACAACATATTCTTTATGTACATTCTGATGGGAAATTAATTTTATTAGACTTCTAATAATTACTTTAAAACCCAGAAAGAAATTTGAAGAATTTCATTGAATAAATTACATTCAGATTTTTCTGACTTTTAATGTTTTATTTGCATTAAAAGAAATTGAGGTAAGAAGTTGACTTTATTGCAGGCACTTAAAATGTTTTTTATGTACAAGGTTAAGCAACAAATTGGTGTTAATTGTGGATAAAGAAGTGAGAGGTAAATAAACTGATCTATAGAAGTGACGAATGAGAAATTTTTTTAATTTTCAAAGTGCAAGTCACTAGTTTAGTTTACTTTTCGATTATGTCCGGGGGTGTAACTCGTTTTCTAAGTCATTTTCCTGCGTGCAAATATTATCGAAGATTGCCCATAAAAGGTCTGAGGTTTGTGGCATCGATAAGATATGGTATAGATAATGAAAAAGGGACTGAAGGCGTAGACCGAATCCTTCTATCTTTTTGGTAGATATTTATTGGTTAGCACATTAAAAACCTTACGAAAAATACCAACCGTAACCGGCATGTACCTCGTTATTTTTGACTAATACGCAACAAATGAGTCCACTGGTTTTCTGTGACCATGCGGCATCGTGTTGAGACAAAGTGAATTTGCTCCGGTCTACGAAGGTAGGAAAAATGAGCTTACGAACGCCCACGAAATTTTTTCCTCTTGTTTCTGAGATGTTCTGGTTCTCTTTCATGATTTTCTTGCTTATTGTTTCTGAAGTAAACTTATTGTTTCTTTTTTTTCAACAATAAAAATCGAAGTGTTACAAAATTTTATACGTATGGATTTTGGAGTTGAAAATCACCAATCTGCTTTTTGTTCAAGAAAACCTTGAGATCTTGTAACTAATTATCAATTATTTTAACAAAGCTTCCTTACATTTCTACAATATTTTTACCTTAATTTTCTTATAAACAATAAGTTTTCACTCATTTTTGTTAAAAATAATTGATTTAGGTACTTTTTTCAGTTCATTAAAGTTTACTGTATTCAGAATATGAAGAAAAAATGACTATTTTATTTTCTTGCTAAAATGAACATTAAAAATTTTATAATCTTGAAAATCATCTATTAATTATTGATCATAACGTGTTCATCAAAGATTTTTTTTTATTAATAAAAATTATTAAAAAATTAATTAAAGAAACTAAAATGCATTAACAACATGTGCATGACTCTGTGGATTTTAATATGCTGAAAATAATCACAGAGTTTATTTATAAATTCTTCGAGTTACAGCACAGGTACCCCAACAATCGGTTATGGTTTTCAGGCTTGGCTGCTGTGATGTGATGATAGCTAGGCGATAATCAATTTATTGCGTGTTATCTACCAAGAACGCAAATTGATTATTACCTGTCTATGCGATAGTACATTACACTTCAGACAATTACTTATGATTTACAACATAATAGCAGAGTTTGACTGATGTCGTACATGTCAAGAGTGATTGAGAGAAATCCGAATTACTTGAATGTAATTTCTTTACATGAATCTCCTTCTTTTAATAATAAAAAAATGTTTATAAATATTTTTATGTGAAAAAAGGTATTTCTTTAATAATGGAAAATATGTGCTTTAGATATTTACCCTAGAAAAAGAACCATAACCTGCAGGGGTTTGTTGAGAGATGAATCTTCACCTAGCTAGGACGATTTATGAAGGTTCACAGGAAGGTCGGGCCATTAGAATCACACCAGAGGTGCTCTAATTACAGGTTTCGGTTGATTGCACGTGTGTCGGCTTCATTTTACCGCGAAAACTATTCAAAACTACTGGAAAATGTGGCATCGCTAAATTTGCTCTGTTTTTCTCGCCTCAAAGGCCGAAAGGGCGTTACCTCGTCAGGACTCTTGACACCCGATCTGTTTTAGAAGATAATAAATTGTCTTTGGTCCAATTCAATATCCATTTAAAGTTCCGAAAGATTTTCAGGATTAGAGGAAGTTGGATTTTAAATTCTATCTGCTAGATGTTTTTCTATTCATTTAAAATGTAAAATTTATCTTCCTGATAACTGTGATATGCTCATGGTGAATATAATGAACAATTATGATTTATGCCGCTCCCTTGACATCAGCAACAGTTTCCGTACATCCATATATTGATCCTTGCTGCAACAAACGATGCAGAATTTTATTCAATCGATTAAAAAATCGAGTGGTTATTTATAATCCTGATAATTACCAATATTTCTGGTGAAGTTTTTTTCTTCATCATTACATCAATATGTATAGAGATTTTTTTTTTAAATTTCATCAATTATATGATGGTATAAATTTACAAGGCATGGAATGAAAATAAGTGAAAAATGTCACTAATGATTCTGGATGTTAATGCACCATTAAATAAAAGACAAATAAAATGACATCAGTGCTAAAGGAAAGCTAAAAGTTGAATGAAAAAAAAATCAAAACTTTTAAAATGATTTAAAATACTGATGATCAACATAACAATATAAATAACCAGTCGAGTCATTGAATGTGAGTCCATAGTGATACTGGTCACAGGCATGACATGTTCCTCAAGTACAAGTCAGAAAGAGTATATGGTGCGATTTGAAGGTACTGGAGCCATCATATAAGTTAGAGTTGTGCGGATAGTTTGCAAGCATGACGAAGCTCTGGGAGCCTAGCAAATCGTTAGTTGAGTATTCTCGTCTGTGTGCAGAATTACATCGTGGTCTGGTGAGTTTGCCGACGATCTTATTCAACCTCTGCCATCTATTCTACATGTGCGATTATTCTTCTTGGTGTAGAATTAATAATAAACGTGAGAAACGTCGCTCACTCATCATTATTATGTACTTTAATTAGAATTTTTCATTGTCGAGTGATCAAATTGTTGCATTATATGAGAGATGAAATATGTAATTATTGGAGTAATGAACCGTTAACGGCTGACGATATTTGATGACAGAAGAGTCAATAGGGTCAATTGACCACCAGAGAATCAGACTTTTATTTTAACTAGCGTTCATGTAATTTTCTATATTTGAACGATTAATTTAAACTCTATTCCTCTGACATCGTCATAAACTCCCGTTCTGCAACTCGTTCCGCGTTCGATGCCCGAGAACCTCATTATGTCCTCACACATTCCCTCTTGTGAAAATTTTTATTACTCAGCCGATTTATTTAATCGGTTTATCAGATGCATATTGCAGAAAAGAAGTGTCTGCGCTGGCTAAAGACGTCTATTAAATCTCTTCTTCACTTCTACATTATTTATAATCAGGTCATAT